TGGCAAATAGCATCAGTGGGGACACTTAAAAGTATACAGTTAAAAGACATTAAAGTGCAGCTTAGATGAAAACAGATGAAAAAGATAGAAACTGCTCAAAAGGCTACAGAGGAAAAAAAATACCTTTAGGCCCGTTCTTTAAAGTATTTACATAAATAATCCCAACTCTATATGCACTATAGTTTTTTTAATTTTAAAAAGTAGGGTGTGCATGTGTGGGCTAGAAATGGTGTTTTTAATTTAAAGCTAGCATTAGCCATGATGCCTACTTTACTCTTCTGCCTCAATGTTTTAGGAGATTGTCAGACCGTCTTCAGATATCTCGTATCACTTTCGGAAAGGGACTGTTAATGACAAGATAGCTGGGTGCCTGCTAGACAGCACAAATACACCAACAAATCTCGTAGAGTCAAAGGGAAGGGGTGGTAAAGTTTAATTGCTCTGTTTAGTTTCCTGTCAACTTAGAACGAGAAATAAAAAGCTTATGCCAAGAAAACAACCAGTTAAGAACTAATCTTAACCAGCTGACTTAGACACAATTAAACCTCTGTGAGTGTGTTTGACAAATGCTTTTCTTTACTCAAATTCAATGTTCAGTAGAGGTGAGGGAGACGAAGAGAAAGCCTGACCCTAACCCTTTAATACAATCACCAGAAGCCTTTAACTGGAGGATGAGTCCTAGTATTTCATGCAAAAAGTAATTATAATTCACTGTGCAGTTGAGAGGAGGGACTTCACGGAGAGGTTATGAGGCCGGTTGCTACATTATAACCTTAACCTAACTGGAGAGAGATGCCCAGTGTGTCACATTACAACCATCTTTACACCTGCCTGTCATGTCAAATGTTTCATGACATTTCTGCCTGGGACTCAGATGTGAGCCAAACAGAAGGTGAGATGCCCAGAAGAGGGGCGCAGACAATGGCAGCTCTTTGGGGCAAGGAAGGCTCCAGATACAAGGGACAGGAAACAGGTCACACCCCATAGATTAGTTCAGGGAAGCAAGTAACTAACCTAAGAAGCAAACTTTGGTTTTCAGAAGTGACTAAGTCTTTAAAGCTTTAAGCTGCCAGAGCAGGGCTCTTCATTCACAACCAAAGCCTGCA